AGTATCAGAGGAAAGATTTGCGAAAAAATCGCAGTCAAAGTTTGGTGACGTCTAAACCTTGAGTGTCTTTGGAACGGAGCACCGGGGAACAGCGACTCTATTTTTAAAAATAGGAAAACATTTGTCCCGGGAACAGCGACTGCCCTAAGCGAATACCTCGTCGAGATGGTATTGATGATGGTATCGATACACCCGCGACCCGCCAAAAGATTTTTCCATAAACATTTAAAACTATGTCTGATCGTAAAATAATATCAAATTCGGAACCAGCGTGTCTAAATTGAAATAATAAGTCGCGGATGACTGTTTTTCTTACAGGATTTAGAAGATCTCAAAAAGAAGTATTTTATATTATAGATTCCATCAAGATGGCATCGTGTAGTATTTTCCTATCACAAAGAGGACAGACACAGTCACTTTTAACTGATCTTATAATAGACACCCCCCCCCCTCCCCACATGTGAAGTGACAAGTGGGAGGCTGTGACGCAAAAATTACTTTGAGGTTTGCCGCCGCGCGGGATTAATTAAACTTTGCGCGCAGAATTTTCAAAATAATTATCGCAGCTAAAAACTGTTTTCATTTTCGAAATCAGCATATCAAAATAAGCAAGGTGGCTCACATGGAACCTGATTTTGTGCCATATTTTAAAACTTGAGCAAACTTTGTTTTTGAATTGTTTATTCTCGATCCAAAGTTGTGTATCAAGGTCACCCAGTGCGTTGTAAGTGCATCTGACGTCAAAGTTGCTAGGACTACACACTGCACACTAGATGTCTACTATCTACTAAATGTACTGCCATAGATGTACACTACAGTCACTGTACAGTGTAAGGTATGGTGATTTGCTCAAAACACACTGCTATTCTCTTTATTGAGATGTAGAGGCCTACAGATCCCTCGAATGTCTGTTGACGATTAAGTCCAGAGACTACAATATCAAATTATTAAGAGAGGGCGTAGGGAGAGTTTGTGTCATAGAATTTTGTGCTAATAACTTCGTGAGCTTCTTTTTTAAAGTTTGTTAAGTAACAACACACAGCATGCAGGCAAATTGTTGCGAAGAGTCATCTGGCGTTAGAAGAAGGAATTTCCCCCCAATTGAAAGGGAATTGGACTCTATGGAAAGTGTAAACCGAATATGGAGTTTGATAAATCTGACAGTTCTACTAATACAAAGAATGTAATATGATTTATCGCTGAGAGTAACCTGGGCTTTACATATCAACCCTTTTCACGGCAACCTATTTATATCCCTTTGACCGAAAACAGGGTGTAACACACCCGTACCTGTATTATACAGTGGGTTCCAAAAGAAACTTGATAATGTAGTCACCCAATAATCGGGTTAAAGCCTTGCACTACCCATGCACACAGCATACCATTTAAAGCTAAATAAATTCTGCTTCATCTGACACAATAATAGTTCATTTATGTTAAGAGATGCTCGAGATAATAATATGGTTTTTTGTTTCTGTTTCTGTTTCTGTTTTCATTTTATCTCTCTCCATCACTCACACGTACATGTAAGCTTCATAAAACGACTCCAATCATAAATCCGCATGCGTGTTTGTTTATTTGTTTGTTAGTTTGGTGTTTTTGTTTTCCTATTATATTTGCTTTATTGATACACACACATATTATATCTATGCTTCATAAATTAATGACACTCATCAAAATTCGAGTGCGTGTTTGTTTGTTTATTTGTTTGTTTGTTTCGTGATTTA